GTAGTTTTTGGTCTTTCTGCAGTAAATCACTTATAATATAGAAGACTACAAATGAGAGCCGGTCATGGTGGCTCACACCTGTAATCCCAGCACTTTGGGAGGCTAAGGTGGGTGGATCAGTTGAAGTCAGGAGTTTGAGACCAGCCTGGCCAATGTGGTAAAACCTGTCTCTACTGAAAATACAAAAACTAGCCAGGTGTGGTGGTGCATACCTGTAGTCCCAGCTGCTTAGGAGGCTGAGGCAGGAGAATTGCTTGAACCCGGAGGTGGAGGTTGCAGTGAGCCAAGATCATACCACTGCACTCCAGCCTGGGTGACAGAGTGAGACCCTGTCTCAAAAAAAAAACAAAAAAAACCAGATAAGCATAAAGAATAAAACATCACCCGTGATCCTATTACCTAGAGATAATCACTGGTAACATTTGTTGTATTTTTTCTTTTAATAGAGTTGGGGGTCTCACTATGTTGGTCAGGCTGGTCTTGAACTCCTGGCTCAAGCAATCTGCCCTGCCTCAGCCTCCCAAAGTGCTGGGATTACAAGTGTGAGCCACTGTGGCTGGCCTGTTGTATTTCTTTCCATGTATATATATTTTTAAAAGGTAGATAATACCATGCATGCTTTTCTTTTTTTGAGATGGAGTCTTGCTCTGTCACCCAGGCTGGAGTACAATGGCACAGTCTCGCTCACTGCAACCTCTGCCTCCTGGGTTCAAGTGATTCTCTTGCCTCAGCCTCCCCAGCAGCTGGGACTACAGGTGCGTGCCACCACACCCGGCTAATTTTTGTATTTTTAGTACAGATGGGGTTTCACCATGTTGGCCGAGCCTGTCTCGAACTCCTGACCTCAAATGATCCGCCTGCCTCAGCCTCCTAAAGTGCTGGGATTACAGGCATGAGCCACCACACCCGTCCTCATGCATGCATGCATTTTCATAACTTGCTTTTATTTAATAGACCATAGATAAACTTAACAGATTATACATTTTCATGTTAATAATTACATTTCTGGGCTGGGCGCAGTGGCTCACGCCTGTAATGCCAACACTTTGGGAGGCTGAGGCGGGTGGATCACAAGGTCAGGAGATCAAAGCCATCCTGGCTAACACGGTGAAACCCTGTCTTTGCTAAAAATACAAAAAATTAGCCGGGCATGGTGACAGGCGCCTGTAGTCCCAGCTACTCGGGAGGCTGAGGCGGCAGAATCGCTTGAACCCAGGAGGCGGAGGTTGCAGTGAGCCGAGATTGCGCCACTGCACTCCAGCCTGGGCGACGGAGTGAGTCTCCACCTCAAAAAAAAAAAAAAAAAGGAAAAAAGAAATACATTTCTGTACTTTATAACGTTGTTGTTCTAAGATAGCATCTCTCTGTGACTCAGGCTTGAGTGCAGTGGTGCAATCTCAGCTTACTGCAACCTCTGCCTCCCAGACTCAAGTCATTCTCCCACCTCAGCCTCTTCAGTAGCTGGGACTGCAGGTGCACACCACCATACTTGGCTAATTGTTTGTATTTTTTTGTAAAAACAGAGTCTTACCATGTTGAGGCTGGTCTCGAACTCCTGGGTTGAAGCAATCCTCCTGCTTCAGCCTCCCAAAGTGCTGGGATTCCAGGTGTGAGCCACTTTACCTAGCCTGTAACATTGTTTTCAATGGTATTTTCCATCAAACAAGTATACTATAATTGATTTGCTTAATTCCATTTAGCACAGAAGTAGAAGGGCTTTTGTTTGTTTTTTAATATATAGACAGGGTGCCACTGTGTTGCCCAGGCTGGTCTCGAACTCCTAGCCTCAAGTGATCCTCCTGCCTTGGCCTCCCAAAGTGCTGGGATTACAGGCTTGAGACACCACACCTTGCCAGAAGTTGAAGTTTTTAAGATGGTTGGAGGAAATCGATTAAAAAGAAGGAAAACAAACTGGGCTCAGAATTCATCCAGAAAGATGAATATGAGTCACAGTAAGGAGCCTAGCTGTGGCAGTGATTGAAGAATGAAAAGTGTAAAGAGGGCCAGGCGTGGTGGCTCACACCTGTAATCTCAGCACTTTGGGAGGCTGAGGTGGGCAGATCACCTGAGGTCAGGAGTTTGAGACCAGTGTGGCCAATACGGTGAAACCTCATCTTTACTAAAAATACAAAAATTAGCTGGGTGTGGTGGCACGTGCCTATAATCCCAGCTACTCCAGGGGCTGAGGCAGGAGAATCGCTTGAGCCCAGGAGACAGAGGCTGCAGTGAGCTGAGATCGTGCCACTCACTGCACTTCAGCCTGGGCGACAGAGCAGGACTCCATCTCAAAAAAAAAGCGTAAAGACGAGAAATATGATAGGTTTCAAATAATACTGATAGTTATGGAGAAAATTGACTCTTCAATCTCTCAGGAAAATGAGGAAAACTCTGGCTTCCATGGAAGAGGCCATAGAGGATGTCAGTTTTCTATTATAATGAAAAGCTGGAGACAAGAAATTTGTACTATGAGTAAAGAGGTGTTTTCTCCTAGGAATATAAGAAGGGGCCCGGGGAGGGCTGGGAAAAAAGGAGTCCCAAAGTAGATGAGAAAGTAAGAAAATACATCCCTTCATGCATGCAGAAATGCAAATTGAGTGGTTTGTGAAATACTGTGGTTTATATGTCAAAAACATAAACTCTAGAACCAGGCTGCAGATTTTAAATCCTAACTCTCCATTAGCATATAAACTTGAGCAAGTTTATTAATTCCCTTATGAGTAAAATAAGGGGTAATAGTGTACCTGCCTCATACAGTCACTGTGAGGATCACCAAGGTTAATAGATGTAAAGCAGTTAGCAGTGCCTGGTACACAGTAAGACCCAATACACATGAGTAGAATAAACACACCTGTTGGGAGAAGAGGGAGCAGCAATGGAAGTGACAGCAACACTCTTATAGGAGTTAATGTAAAGAGACGAGCTATAGATATGGAGGACTGATGCAGGAATTGATCAATACAAGCGTGTGGTTCACCGAAGTGCATGTACAGAAGTACTCCCCGCCTCACCTCAGCATCCCATATAAAATGATTGATGGACATACAGAATCAAAAAGCATTTTATTTTCTACAGCCTGGGTAGAGAAACAGGCAGACACAGAATGGAACTAAGCAGTAAGTTCAAAAGCAAGTTAGGGAAGCTTGAAAATTAAGCCCTCAGAACCCAAACCTAATTTCCTTTCTAAATGCCCTAAGAACTCTGGGATTCTGTCTCCTTTTTTGACTCATTGGCCCAGTGGTCCTCAACTAGGAGCAATAACCCCCAACACCCTCCCTACACCCACAGACATTTGGAAATGGCATAGGGGCATTTTTTTTGTCGAAATCTCTTGTGCGTATTCAGTAGGCTGGCATCAGGAATGCTGAATGCCACATAGTCCCACATAATGAGGAATTGTCTGCAGAAATGCTGGTAGCACTCTCATTGAGAAACACTGTGGTGTGAAATTCATATTGTAGGTTTGTCAAGCCAGTATTTTCTAAATTCAGTGCCAAAAAGCAAGCTGTATGCTAAGGATTCTGTAAGAATAGACAGGAAGAGACTTCTTTGTTCCACAGGACATTTTCAGAAAATTCTTACTTTTGTTTGGAATATCAGAAATTGCTTACAGGACAGGGCCTTAGCTCATGCCTGTAATCTCAGCACTTTGGGAGTCTGAGGCGGGAGGATCACTTGAGCCCATGGGTTCGAGACCAGCCTGGGCAAAATTCGGAGACCCTGCCTCTACAGAAAAAAAAAGATAGCCAGATGTGGTAGTAGGCCCAGGTACTTGGGAGACTGAGCTGGGAGGATTGCTTGAGCCCAGGAGGTTGAAACTGCAGTGAGCTGTGATCACACCACTATACCCCAGCCTGGGTGACAGAGCAAGATCCTCTTTAAAAAAGAAATTGCAAGGCCGGGCACAGTGGCTCACGCCTGTAATCCCTGCACTTTGGGAGGCCGAGGCAGGCAGATCACAAGGTCAGGAGATCAAGACCATCCTGGCTAACATGGTGAAACCCTGTCTCTACTAAAAATAAAAAAAATTAGCCGGGCATGGTGGCGGGTGCCTGTAGTACCAGCTATTTGGGAGGCTGAGGCAGGAGAATGGTATGAACCCAGGAGGCACAGCTTGCAGTAAGCCAAGATCGCGCCACTGCAATCCAGCGTGGGCGACAGAGCGAGAATCCATCTCAAAAAAAAAAAAGAAAAGAAAAAGAAAAAAGAAATTGCAGCCGGGCACAGTGGCTCACGCCTGTAATCCCAGCACTTTGAGAGGCCGAGGTGGGTGGATCACCTGAAGTCAGGAGTTTGAGACCAGCCTGGCCAACATGGTGAAACCCCGTTTCTACTAAAAATACAAAAATTAGCCAGCATGGTGGTGCACGCCTGTAGTCCCAGCTACTCGGGAGGCTGAGACAAGAGAATCATTTGAACCCAGGAGGTGGAGGTTGCAGTGAGCCGAGATCGCACCATCGCACTATAGCCTGTGTGACAAGAGCAAAACTCTGTCTCAAAAAACCAAAAAATAAATAAATAAATAAATTGCTTACAGATTAACTTGCCTACATTTAAAGGCAAAGAGTCATCTAGGATGTTTCCTTGAGCACAGAAAGCCATTTGAACTGTTCTTTATGTAGGATGTAGAGGATCACTAATGTAGATGCCTTCTCCCCGATCTTTATCTTCTTCTTTTAGCTAAGCCCAGATGGTAGGGTGTATGTAAGTTCTAGTTGTATCTACTCTGATCTGTTAAGTCCAAATTTGAGAGGATTTTTAAATGACTCTAGAATACAGTCTCATAGGCCAGGTGCAGTGGCTCACACCTGTAATCCCAGCACTTTGGGAGGCCCAGATAGGAGGATCACTTGAGGCCAGGAGTTTGAGACCAGCCTGATCAACATAGTGAGACTCCATTTCTATTAAAAAAAAAAAAAAGAAAGAAAGAAAGAAAAGAAATAGCATGAGCACACAATTACCACCTAATATGTTAATCATTTTTATGTCTGTGTTCATCTCAGGAGAGAAACCCTTTATCTGTGAAATCTGTGGCAAAAGCTTCACCAGCCGCCCCAACATGAAGAGACACCGCAGAACTCACACAGGCGAGAAGCCCTATCCATGTGATGTGTGTGGCCAGCGGTTCCGCTTCTCGAATATGCTTAAGGCCCACAAGGAGAAGTGCTTTCGGGTGACCAGCCCCGTGAATGTGCCACCTGCTGTCCAGATCCCACTTACAACTTCCCCAGCCACCCCAGTTCCTTCTGTGGTGAACACACCCACAACCCCAACCCCTCCAATCAATATGAATCCTGTAAGCACTCTTCCCCCTCGGCCCATCCCCCACCCCTTCTCACACCTGCACATCCACCCACACCCTCACCACCCGCACCACCTTCCCATCCCTCCAGTCCCTCACCTCCCCCCACCTCCAGCTCTCTTTAAGAGTGAGCCTTTAAATCATAGAGGCCAGAGTGATGACAACTTTCTGCGGCACCTGGCAGAGAAGAACAGTTCAGCACAGCATCATTAACATCCGTCTCCTTAGTGTGTTCTCCAGGAGACACGTCCCCATGTGTGAGCGTGCACAGAGGGAGTCAGTGAGCATTTCCTTAGTTCTCAGACTCTCCTCCGCCTCTACCAAGAGCTTCGCCAGTGTCACTGAATCAACAGATCCAAGGGAATGAACAAGAAGACTACCTTGAGCTCACAGAGGGACTGTCTAATCTAAACCAAGGGAACCACTGAACTAAAGCCCAATTTGCTTGCATTTTCTGATGACTTTTATAAGTTTCAAATACTCAGACTTGTGGAATTTTATAATTTCATATCAGCTGATGAGGTATGCTTGCTTTTATATCCCGGACTTCTCCTCAAAGAGGGGATAGGCCTGGTTTCCTTTGTACTAATCGGGAAGGCTGTGAGATTAATCCAGAGCATTAATTGTATCACTGTGTATGGTAAGGAATTCTTTTCAGCTTTTGGTGCCAGCTACAGAGTTGAGCTGGCCATGATTCACAGTATATCAAGCATTATAGGGAAAGACAAATTTTCTTCGTGTAGCTCTCCTAACGCACTCTTTATTTTACTACAGAAATTATTTTAGAGTTTTTGTATAGACTTCTTTAGTAGTCTGTTTCTAAAATGAAATGTATTTCAATAAGCGGTGTAATTTTTTCAGTGTAGCTGAACCTATGTTGTAAAATAGAAAAAAAATTTTATAATCATCAAAATGTGATTCTTAAAGATGCATATAACTTCTATAATTCAAAGTTATTCTTACATCCGTACAACTCAAAAGGTGCTTCAGAGACTAGATGTATCTGAGAGGGTCTCCACACCAGGTTACTGCAAAAACGAGGTTTTGCTTTCAGGATTTGGCATAAATACTTGGTAGTTTTGACATCTCTGTGTAACACTCAGAGAGGCTCCCTAATGTGCTCCTGTCCTCCGTGTTCTACTTGGCTTCGTTAGTGCATTACATGAAATGATTTGCAGGGGATGGGGCCTTTTCCAGGGAAGTCACCTAAAGCTTCCATGTTTTGAACATTTGAATAAGGCTGTTTGCTGACAGGAGGAGGAAGTAGTGGAGATCATTTAATCTCAGTCACGTCTGTTTCTCACTTCCCTTAGGAACTGTGTTCATGTTTAGCTTTTTATGGAATGACAAGTTGAAATCTCTCATTTTGAGGTTGCTTTATTTTTCTAGAATTGTTATAAGAAGCTAAAATAGTAAACTTAAAATCATAAACATGATGTTGCTGATAGTGGCTGAGAAATTCAGATGAGAAGGCAAATTGGTTATGAATTTTGAAATATCGATTACATGTGAAATATGGATATGTTCATAACCTTGAGCTATTTTAACACAATAAATAGTAGTGAGGGAAAACTCCTAAGTTTTACTGCCCTGTCCTCTGCAAATTATGTAATACCAGCATTCTTAGGTGATAAAGAGAGCAGCACCTCTAATACCTTTAGGCAGATTACTTTTTCAAGTTTGGGGAACTTCAAAAGAACGTAATCAACCAGGAGCTTATTATAGGAAAGGCTGAACAGAAGGGCTAGTGTATTGATTACACTTAACTGATCAAATTTATCCAGACTCATTATAGCTTAAAATTTTGTATTTCTTTATCTCAGATAACTGAGTTCCCAGGCTAAATCACTTACCTCCCACCCGCTCTCCAATTTTTTTTTTTTTTTTTTTAAAGACAAGGTCTTGCTATGTTGCCCAGGCTAGAGTGCAGTGGCTATTCACAGGTGCAACTATAGCACACTACAGCCTCCAACTCTTGGGCTCAAGCAATCCTGCCTCAGCTAACCAAGTAGCTGGGACTACTGGCACACACTACCATGCCCAGTCCATTTTTAAATCTTGAAATTTCTTCATTTTTCTTTCTTCAGGTTCTTAAAATCATTGCCTGAATCAGAATGCTGGCTTTTATTTTTTTTATTTTTAATGTTAAATGTGCAGATCTGCTTTGAGCACTTTCCTAGCTAATGAGCTCTGTGGTAGGAAAAATGGAACTCTTTCAACTGAGATTAAGTCCGTATTTTTTAAACATCACACTCTCTATTAGCTTTTTGGTTTAATGTTTCTGAATTTTCTCCTTCTGATTTTGCCTGTCTTGTATAATGAGCATAGGAAACTTTTGGAATGAGGCAGAAAAGTATCTCAAGATATACTTTTCTTCCTGGTTTTGGATGTAAGTTTTAAAAATGGTATTTTTAATATTTGTACACATTCTTTGAGCACCCAGGTATCCAAGCCAATGAGGAAAGTTAATTCCTTGCATTTGACGGTTATATCTTTAGTGGTTGTCTCCCCTCCCTCCACAGTCTCCTTGGCATTCCGTGACAAGTTTGTCAACCTACACTTTTATATAGACATATCATTATTTCATGGTCAAGCCTGTAGTATTAAAATGATTTTTTTTAAAGATGTAAATTGTGCTTAATTGGTTATATTGTGTTCTTTTTTTTTTTTTTTTTTTTTTTGAGGCAGAGTCTTGCCCTCTTGCCCGGGCTGGAGTGCAGTGATGCGATCTTGGCTCACTGCAACCCCCGCCTCCCGGGCTCAAGTGATTCTCCTGCCTCAGCCTCCCAAGTAGCTGGGATTACAGGCATGCGCCACCACGCCCGGCTCAGTTTTGTATTTTTAGTAGAGACGGGGTTTCACCATATTGGCCAGGCTGGTCTTGAATGCCTGACCTTGTGATCCACCCACCTCAGCCTCCCAAAGTGCTGGGATTACAGGCGTGAGCCACCATGCCGGACCGCCTTATTTTGTTCTAAATAAATTTAACAGTATTGGGCAGCAATTCTGAATTCTAGACTTGAGACCACAGAATCAACCATTTCATGAGGTTGTACTATAACTATACACTGGAATATTCAGGTAGTCATCTTTGATTTTTCATTCAAGTAAATATAGCCATAAGAAAATATCTGCTATACAGGAAAACCAGTATTAAGCAAATAATCACCACCATCCTTAAGCAAAAAAAAAAAAAAAGATTATTTTTAAAAATTAGCATTGTCATACAGTACAATTCTTAGTGAAATATATTGTGGAACAATTTAGAAACTTCCTTTTTTTCCCCTAGATTAAGGATACTTTCCTTGACTTGAGATTTGTGGTCTTCAGGAAAACTGCTCCGAATATAATGACTCCTCATCAGTATCATATTGCATATGAATAATGAAATGCATTAAGAATATTCACAACATTAATGCTTCTGAATATAAGAACTGCAGGATTAAGCCTTAAACATATATGTGCAACACGTTTAACATACTTAAGACTCAAACTCAGGGTTGAAAATTTGGTTGGGGTCCTCTTTGTAAGATAAAAGTTGCATTATGTGGTATGTTCTCTTCCATATATGCTACAGCACCCCATGAATTCTTCAAAACTTTTTACCTACTTGTTACCTGTTTATGAAAAAAATAATTACGGAGAAGTTTGAGTTCTCAGCCCTTATCTGTACATGTCTGTTAAAGACAACAAAGGCCGCATTTAAGCATTATGTAGATAACAAATTGAGGCTGTCTCTCATTACTTAGTTTTACTGTCTTCAAAGGCTTGTATCATTGCTAGGGTTAAGACTTATTTGAGGATGAGTTGGCATTGTATTTTGTGTGTGTGGGTTGGTTGATTTGTGTGTGTTTCATTTTTATTTTTCTGCTTTCTCTCATAAGATTTTTCAGTAAAATATAAACTCTTCCTTAGCCTTAATAAAGGCTGCTGCTTTCTCAAATTGAGTCAGGTAGGCTCATTCTGAGTTAGATTTTTAAATCTGAATGAAGAAAAGACAACAATTTAAAGACATGTGGCTTCATTTCCACATGTATTTGTGACTGGATTCTTCTTTTTAGCAAGCAGGGGAGATCTCCACAAAAAAACTTTACTGTAGTTCAAAGAAGCCTGTGCAAATCAGTTACCTGTACTTTCATAGTCTACCATTTACATTAACTGTTCTAGATAAATGACTGAGCGTGGACATTACCATAGTTATACCATTTTTTTAAAACCACATTGGTTCGAAGTATCCTTTTCTAGTGGTTAGAACTTTCCCTGTAATTTGATTATCCCTCATATACTAACCGAAAGCAAAATGCTCTGATGAGATGCTTATAAACTATGGATTTTTTAATTCTTGACATTTTTTTTCAGTTTTTATGTTTGTTGAATAGATATGTATGTTTAGTTTCATTATTATTTCACTGGAAGTTTTAAATTTTGAGAAGATGAAGCAGAAATAGAAATCCATTGCAGATATATGTATATTTACACCATCTTGCAGATTTCGGTTAGTAAAACACACAATGATAGGTCAGTTTTAATGTTTAAAAAAAAAAAAAACTAAAGTTAGAGAAACCTTTCTGTTTGAGCTACTGTATAGAAAAAACAACTTTTGTTGCATTGCTGGTCCACATGATAAATATTTCAATGCTGTTCTAGACTGTATGAGAAGTACTTAATGAAAAAAGGGATACATTACGTCTAAGAATTGTGTCAGCTAATTACTGTTTTTAAAAAATCAACTCATTTGGAGTTCTTCAGACTATAAAATTGAGCAAGTAAAGTTTGAGTTTTAATTTTCCTTTGCCTGAACCAAGATAGGAAATTTCTCAAAAGATTTTTTTTTTTTTTTTTTTTTTAGGAATGAAAGGTCATAAGCCATTAGAAATAGTGGCATTGTTATGCAATAACAACACCCTAGCTAACCTGCTTTTGTCACCTGTAGCACTTACAATAAAGAATGATGACCTTCCAACCCTGGACACTACCTCGATAAAGCAAACCAGAGATCCTCTCTACACTTTCTATGGAAGCCATAAAATTTGCCATCAATATATCCACTTTCATAGTTCTATACTTTTATACTTTCTAGACTTTTTTATAGACTTTATGATCAAATCTTTTTGTCTTAGAGGATAGGTTTTGCAAGATTCAAAGGAAAATCAAACTCCTTGGTCGTTCCAGCTTTGAAGCTTTTGCTTCAGTAAATTTGTTTAAAGAACCAGATCACATACCATTTATGAAATTCTTTATTTAAGTCAGAACTACTTTGCAGACATGCATATTTGGAAAACAAACTCTTTCTTGTTCTCTAGATAGAATCTGTATTGTTGTAAGAAACTACTTATAAGGTGGCTTTCTTTCTGCTTTGTTACTCTATGTATTACTCAATAATATACGTATGGTCACATGTTCCTGGAGTTGTTTTATTTCTTTATGACAGATACATGAGTATGCACCTCTTTCTAATCCTCTGATGTCACTGCAGCTTCAGTCTCTCTCACTCTGTTTTTGAGTGCCTTCAAAATGCCAGCATCCTGGAACATTCTTTTCCTGATCTAAATCCTACCTCTGACTATTTCATTATCCATGAATATTGGAATTCACCCATATTCCAGTGGGCTTAACTCTACAAACTAGCTAAAACCTTGGACAAGAATTTTGACTGAATTTCTGTTTTGTTCCTCCGTGTCATTTTTAGGTTACATTTTTAACTTTTATTTATATCTTATTTCTTCACATATTACATCTCCCTGTTGAAAGATTTTGTCCTTATTTGACTCTTCACCTTCTTTCACCGGAAATTCGACGTTCCTTTAAAATTAAAGGTCATTGAATATGTCTTTTGAACACCTTTTTCTCAACTGAAGTCTTCCTGAATGCCTCCCCTTTCTGATGAAGGGATCCTGAGTGCTGCTGTTGCTCTGCCCTGTTCCCATGTGCCCACTCTCTTCCATACACATTTTGCGAGACTATACTCTTTTAGTCAAATTTATTTAAAATTGCTCTCTGGGTTTCTGCTTTCTCATGGCCCTGTCCCTCAAAAACTGTTTATTTTTTCTAGCTGTCTTCATCTAATTGGTTTAAAACGTATGATGGAGCCATAATATATGAAGGATGTAATGAAAAGGAGGTTGCAGTGTTTTCCATGTAAAATAATCGAGCACCTCCGTGATCAAACATTTAGCAATTGGCTAGTCCTTCACAGCCAGAGCGGAAGTTTGTGCTGTGTACAGTTCTTTTTACTCCCTTCCAGTTCTCCAAAACTGGAGAAAAAGAAAAAAAAATGAACTCTTTCAAATGAGATTTGATTGCATTTTTTAGGTGAATGAAAGCTTGGAGTTGAGTGTTTGGGCCTTAGCATTTTTCCTTTCTAACTTAAAATCTCATGTCCTTTTCCGTAAAATTAATAGTACTCAGGTTTTTAAGACTAACTGATAACCACGCAAGGTGGGTGTCTAAGAAGGCAGCTGTTAATACATTCTCCATCTTTCCTGTCTGACAACAGACACTATATTATTGGTGAGATAGTGCAAAATTGTGAGAATTGGTTATGTTTGATGATTAATAAATTCAAGATTTTTGAAGGCTTCACTGCTATTTGGGATGGGAAGATGAGTTTACAAAATGAAAAAGGTTTTATGTTACAGAAATCAGTAACAAGGGTTTTTTATTGTGTTAAATACCTTTCACTTCATTTGCCGTGATGTTTCTTCCTCATTATTGATCTAGAAGTTTGCCTCTTGGATGGTAACTAGCTACTTACAGTATCTACTTTAAAATTTGTGGCTTTTCTCTTCAGAGTCCCAGGCCATAAAACAATGGAGAGCTGTACTTGCTTGTCATTTGGAGGAACCATGTCCTTGAGACAGCCTGCTGTCTTGTATGTCTTCAGTAGGAAACTTCTGACACACGCATCCAAGCGAGTTCCTGCCCCTGAGAGTGTTCCCACAGCTTTCCAGTCGCAGGTTACTTTCACACTACGACAGCTTCTCTGGTGAGATCAGGGATGTTACATATTACTTGAAAATGATTTCATAGGAAGTGAGGATGGGCCAAGAAAGGGGGTGGAAGCTGAATTTTGCTTAACTTCAGAAGGAAATCTGATACTTGCCTTGGCTTGTTCTGATCAACTAAAGAGCCTGTGTCTGTACTGGAGGTGCCAGAGAATCAAGTTGTTTCTGGAATATCCAGCTCCTCTGAATGAACACAGCTTCCTCCCTACCTGTCTTTTACAGGTGAAAAGGGACCATCTGATGAGCATGATAGACTTTAACTCACATCCTGTACAGGACTCAAGACTGTTTCATTGCATTTGAAAGTTGGTGGGAAGTATTTCATTCTGGTAGAACTTCTAACCCTCCTAGAAATATCTTTTCATACTCTATTAATTCATTAGATTAAAAAGAAACAGTGCGACATAATTTTTGTGTTTACTTCTTAAGTTGTCTCCCCAAGGGCATATATGTAGCCTCTGAAAATAGGATGATTTCTTCTCAATCTTCCATAAATTTGAATATGTATTTTATTCGTTTCTTGACATGGGCTGTGTGACTGTTTTCCATCAGCAGTTCTGGCTTTGTCCACAAGGGAGCAATAAAGTACTTTAGCTTTATTCTCAATCTGCTAAAGAAAGATCCCACTTTTAAATCTCTTCTGGAATAGCCTCTTGGCTCGAAGCTT